CTTCTCTCCCTCCTCCCCCACCCCCACGAATCCCTGCCAGAGAAGGGAGTTCAGGCTGATTTGTAGTTGCTACTGGAGTCTCTCCCACCCTCACCCCACCTTGTGCATGGGGCAGATGGGGGAGCGCTGAGAACGGAGGAATTCGTGACCAGTGTTTCCCTGAGTTGGATGAAGTTCAGTCTTTTCTCCTTTTCCATCGTGGTGGTCTCAAAGTGGCGCATTCCTTTATTTTCGAAACAGTTTGTTTCAAGTGTTTGGCGTCTAGATTCTCTGTATTTTGACGACTGTTTTAAATGCAGGCGTGCCAGGAAAATAAATAAACCTTAGAAACTCCTAATTCCTTTCTCCTGCGGTGGTCACCATGGAAAAGACCTGCGATCGCATAAGTAAATTACAGGCCTGTCCTTAACATCCCTGAATAAAGAGGTCAGAAGTTTGGGGACGCTTCTACCGGGGATTTGTTTGTTTTTAAAGAGCAAAATAGATGCTGAACTTTTAGAAGGAAACCCTTCGAAAATAGCCCCATCACTTTGATCATTCAATACTTAAGAGGGTGTCAGGAGGAAGTAAAGATCCCAGGAATGCCATCGCTTGTTGTTTTTCAGAATGAGGGTTTTATAAAGACAGACGGGGGGGGGGGGGGGGAGATGCTCTTTGCTATGTTTAGGAAGCGCCAACACTACAGTGCCCTTCTGCTGAGATTTCAATCCTTAGTCACAGCTCAGAGTGCAACAAAAGACGACTGCGTTTGAAATGTATAGACCACAACAGCCATGCCTCTGGGAATACAGAGGAATGGATCCATCTATCTAGGGAGAGGGCTAATAAACACACCGGAGCTCTAAATGGCACCTCGTTTAATCGATTGGGTTGGGACATTACACTGAATTCCTGTCTCTCCATTTCAAGTGACCCGCCCCTATGGCACGAAGACGGGAAAGGACTTTTCCAGTAGAGCTGGGGGAGAGGGAGGAATTCTGGTGCGGTGGCCGACAGTCCAGCCCCCCACTGTAATTGGAACAGGCTGTAATTAATATCCCAGGCTCTGGGCGCTAGAGGATGGGTGCCATGCTGACCTACGCGCGCCCCACTCATTCATCGCTTCGGGAACATTTTTAAAAAAACAGTCACCGCTAAAGAGGAACATGCATAGACACATGCCAAGCCCTTCGCTTACAGCAGATGTGTGCCGAGTCCGTCATATATAACACTCCCCCCGAAGCGTTGGTATAAGTATACAACCCCACCCCCAGAAATGGGGATGTATTCTACCCATCAACCCCTCCCCCCATTTCCCTTTCTGAAGTGTGTGAATAGGGTACCTGAAACCTCTGTCCAGAACTGCAGGGCTGGCTGTCCAATCTCTACAGACCGATCCTTCTAGAAATGTGGGCACACTCTACAGAATAACCCATACACCTAGAAATGTGCAAATCGTGCATTTAGAAATCCCGAGAATAGTGGCTAGTTGGCACAGACTACTCCACTCCAGAAATATGGGACTACAACACGTGTACCTTCCCCCGCCCCAGAAATGTGGGAACATTGTACAATAGAATTCCTGAAATATGAATGGACTGTGCAGATGAATTCCCACTGCAAAGGTGGGAATACTGTCCATAATAATATCCCAGAAATGTGGGGACATCGTACAACATAATTCCGCAGAAATGTGAGTGTACTCCAGTATAATGCCTCTCCTGAAATAGTCCACCTAAAAAGGTCACTATATTGCACACACAATGCCACGGAAATATGCGGATATCTGTTTAAATCGCCCAGAACTCGTGTTATACTTGTTTTAACAACATACATACTGCCATCCAGAGGTCATCGATACACCCCAGATGAGTGACTAGGGTACTGTAAAGCTTGATCGCCCCCGGAAATGTGGCTGTAACCTCCTACTCTAGGTGTGGGTATTTCTCCATGGCCCCCAGAAGGGCGAACAGCTCCACTTTTCTTCCATTGTGGGGTTTGCTCTTAGCAAATGGATACAAATTACCCCAACTTTAATTTTTTGGGTTCGGTGTTTAAGGAAACAGACCACTTTTAAAACAGATTACAATTGATTTTTATTCCCAGTCTGGGGTTATTTTGCAGTCTGTAATTCTCTGGAAGCCAGTAATTCAAGTCCTGCAGCTTCCTCATGATCTGGCTCCTCTTCCTCGGCCCCACGCAGTTCTTTTTGCTTTATTTTTAACAGCTGCTCCTATTTACTGGTTTATCTTTATTTACAGTGTTTTTGTGACTTCCTTTCCTTTTCTCCATTTTGATGGCTCGGGCTATGAGCCAGGACGATACAATGTCCTGGTCCTTTCCTGAAGCGTCTCTCTTTTTTTTTTAAGCTCCTAGAATATTAGGGAGGCGAATGGGGGGAAAATCCAGCTGTATTGATCGGTCTGTAGGATTTTTACTGATCAGGTTGTTTTAGTCCTCACCAGACATCATCCGTGCCAGCCAATCAAATGCCACCTCTCATAAAGCCCACCTTAGGTTGTTTTTGTGTTGAAGGTGCTCATTGGGATTTTCAAAACAAATACATGACATGAAGGAAAGGAGCTAGAAAGAAACTAGACCCGCAGAGCTGAAGTGTAAGGTTCGATGGAGGTAACCGGGGGTAGCATTGCAGAAGGCTGCGGTTCCGTTCCTGCAGGGTTTCTAATAGCTTTAGCCACCCACCAGAACCCCATCTTGCCTGTTTGCTATTTAGCATGAGAATTAGTGGGTTTGCAAATGCACCTGTTCTTTCTCCCTATTCCATGGACCCCCCCCCCCCGCCCCAAAGTCCATTCTAGTAGCAAATAGTCTCATCTCAAGAGAGAGAAGCTCTTGGTGAGTGTTCACGGGTCTCTGGACAGCGGGGCGGCTGTTAGTCCGGTGTACCCTGATAGACTGGAGTAGCGAAATGTCATCTCTAGCTCGATGTCAGTGTGTTGGTGTCCGCGTCTGTGTCTATGTAAGTGTAGCTGCGAGTGTGTATTTGCCTGGGTAGATGTCTCTGGTGTGTCTGTGGGTATATGTTTGTGTGTACGTGTATAGGCGTTTCCCTCCCCAGTGCTATGGCCCGAGTTTATGCAGGGCGCTCTTTACATTAACCCTGCCGTGCTGTGCCCGCCAGCCGCAGCAGCCGCAAGCCGAAGCCGGCTTTTGCAGGGCGTTTTCAGCAACGCCACGACAAGGTCCAGGTTTACTTCCCAGTTCTCAGCAGCGCGGCTGATCTCACGGGCATCGCCACCAGGCACCAATACAGAACGAGCAGGGCCCTGGCGTTTCTTCTTGTCAGCAGGAAGGGGTGGGGGGACTCCAGAGGAGGGAAGGGCAAAACATTGGGCTGATCGGGGGGGGCCCCCTCAGCTCCCCAGTGTTTGCAGGTGACAGTCACATGACTACTGCGCACCCCTTACTGCGCTGGACCCAGCTGGACTCCCGGCGGTCAGAGCTTCTGTCCCATGCGGGTGTCAGCAGGAATCTCACAGCCCTGAACTGTCTCCTCCGTCCGGGAGCAGCCATCTGACTTGAGTGGGACAGGGGAAGGGGGCTGCCGCACAGACAGGGGGCTAAAGAGCCACAGGAGCGGCCCTGCCTTTAGCTTCCAATATTCGGCCTGGGGTTGGTCTGCTTCTGACATGCTGCTGCTGTCTTGTGGGCAACCATTGCATGAAAAGGACGTCTCCGCTCTAGAGCAATAAGCAAACCGTCTACGGTGTGTGCGCCGCGGTGTCACGCACCGACAACGATCTACCATCACTCGCCAGGACTGTCTAGCCCTCCAAACAACCATGTGCAAACATTTAACCCAAACAAGCAGCTTCTGGCTGCAGAGGCGCTGCTTGCACAGAAAAGGCAAGTGCGCTTTGACCTCTAGTGCGCTCCGGGGTCCTGCCCCCCGATGTGTGTCCCGGTTTGGTTCTCTGGTCGGTCTGGGGGCCCCCTGCGCGGCTGCGGTTGAAACTGAAGCCCGTTTATTCCGCTTCCGACTTTGACAAGGGTCTGCAAAGCCACCCGCTTGTTTGCGGTGGAGGCGGAGGAGGGCGCGCGGAACCTCCGCAGATCGCCTTATCTCTGCATCTCTCCCCGGCTCGGGTGGCTCAGCAAAGGGGTTTTAGAGAAGGCCACTCGCTAACACGCCCAGTGGGGCTTGTACCAAGGCTAAGGCTGCGCTGCCCCCCCGCCTCCCCCGGGTAACCCCGCCGCCTTCCAACGGGCACCGGTCTTTGCTTTAAGGAGCTCAGTTCTCTCTCTCCCCTCGCTGGCTGCGCGTATCTGTCCCCGGGACAGTCCTGACCGCTGTGACTGCTGCAGGGGGTGGTCACCTCCTAACCAGGGGGGCGTCTGAAGGGGAGGCAGAAGTAGCCGCAAGTCTCTGTTTGAGCTCCCAGCTTTAAGTAGCAGGGGGAGGGCGGAGAGCCGGAGAGCACCAAGCGCCCTGGGAACCTGGGATCGCCACGTGTACTTACTACCGAGCGCTCCGAATTGCAACCACCCGGCTACAGTTTGCAGCCAGAGGCTTCGTGCGCCCTAACTTGTGTCCCGCCTGCTCCCCTGTCCCGCTCCCCCTTCCCCTGGAAGCAGCCAGAGGAAGTGGCTAGCTGACCCGGACCCGTCAGGAGTGGCGCGGTGACACCAGCCCCTTGTAAGGCGACTGGCTGAACCCAAGGGGTGAGAACTTTTTTTTGTAGCCGCGGCCATTGTGTCACCAAGACACTTCATTATTAGAGCATCAGCTCGCGAGCCCCGGCTCCGTGAGTTGGTCCCGGGTCAAAGTGTGACACTTAACCAAATAGCAACCGCCAGTGACTTTTGATTTATGCAAAACGGGTGTATTGCCTGCCGCTTAAGGGGGGAGGGGAACCCCCAGAAATAGGCCTGAGACCGTAAAGTGCAAACCTGTCATCGCTAAGCCAGTCTGCAGCTCAGAAAGTGTGGCATCAAAGAAAAAAAGAAAAAGAAAAAGAAAAAGAAAAAAACACGACAAGTAAATGCAAAGTTCTTCTTACCTGAGCGCAGTCCCGCGTCTGCCTTGGCTTTGGGAAGCCCCAGAGAGAAGAGCTGCTGAATCTTTCAGGCTTATTCTCTCCTCCTGCTAGCACAGTGTCTTACAGACTTTAGCAGCAAGTTGTCTCTAGGGGCTTTGGAAGCTTAACTTTGAGAGCAAGCCCCTGAGTTCCCGTGTGAAGGGACTCTGGGTCGTGCACTAGGGGACAGGCATGGCACCCCTGAGCCCTTGTAGCAGGGAGACGCGCACTCCCCGGGAAATGTATATATGTAGAAAGAAGGGTAATTTGAGTGCTTTTACCAAGAACCAGGGTTGTTAAGTTTGCAGTCAGGCTGCTAAACGGTGCCAAGTACAGAAGGGAGGGAGGGCGGGCGGGGGCGAGGGGGGGAATAAAGAGCAATTGTCAGAGGCGAACAAAAGGCGGGGATGGAAAGGAGCTGAGAATCCCATGGCAAAGCCCGTCAGCGCGGACTTGAACTTGGGACTTTGTCTGAGAAGCCGGGGAAGCTCTCTGAGCCTGAGAACCTGGCTGGGATCAGGGCACCTGGGGGTGCTCTGTCTGCCTGTGCTGGGGGTCGGGGGCGAGGGTCACGCTGGGTCACAGCCCCGTGGCAGCGTGTAAGGCTAAAGCATTGAGAGACACTCACCCCAAAGTCAGGGTGTGGGGAACACGGACCCTTCTCCCACAGCAGCTTCTACTAGGGGGCTGGGGGGGGGCGAAGAGACCTCCACCACCACCCGGGACGATTTCCACACTCTTCTCTCCCCACCCCTCCCATCTCCACCTGATTCATCCACTGGCTGCTGTGAAAAGTGGGGTGAACTCAGCAGGGCCGAGCCCTCCAGCGCAGCTAGACCCATTGCCTCTCTCCAAGGCGCCTCTCCCGGGGAGTGGGGACACTCTGGCCCCCTCTCAGGCTCACACCCAGCCTTGGGGTGCGGGCTTCTGAACCTGGGCAGAAGCGATTGTTTGGAGGTGTCACAGGACACAGAATTTAGCCCGTAGGTTTGCTAAGACAGCCAGGCATATGCCTGGCCTCTGGGGGGGCTAAGGCCAGGCGAGACTTGGTTCTTGGGGGGGAGGGAGGGGGGGCTGTAAAAAGCTGCCGGGGCTGAGCTGGCCTCTGGTTCTCACAGGCTGGGTCCCAGGCTGGATTCTCTTCACGTCCCAGTCTGCTCACCCATTGCCGCTATTCAGCCCCTAATTGAACGTTAATGGCAGCTGCGGATGAGGTCATTGGAGCCGGCTTTTCTCACACATTTTTCATGCAAATCCGCGAAACTCTAAACAAATTTGAATAAAACCCCCCTTTGTGCGGGCCCTGTATGGGCCGCGCCGCGTGTTTTTCCCTGGGCCCGTCGCGCCGGTCTCAACAGAGCCCGGCCAACTTTATCTGGGGAGCCGGAGCAGGTCACCGCGGAGTGTTGCGTATCCTCTTTCTTTCCCCAGAGAAAAGGGATGTCTGGAGCCGGCTGCAAACGGCCCTTCGCGAGGAGCCGCACAATGGGGCTAGCGGGGGGTTGTTCCGTTTGGGCTATAAATAGTGGAAGGGGCTTGAATCCCTGCCATGGGCCTCGTTAGGATCCTTCAGAGGAAACAAGCCACCGAGCAGGAAACACGTCCAACCGCGGCGGGGTTTGTTTGGCAGCTGGGTGATGCGTGTGATGGGAGGCGCGGGGCTGTCTGAGTGTCAGGGGTTCATAGATCATAGGATATCAGGGTTGGAAAGGACCTCAGGAGGTCATCTAGTCCAACCCCCTGCTCAAAGCAGGACCAATCCCCAATTTCTGCCCCAGAGCCCCTAAATGGCCCCCTCAAGGATTGAACTCACAACCCTGGGTTTAGCACTGAGCTATCCCTCCCCCTCTCTTGACGCCCCCGAAGCCTAAACTCCACGTGGGAACCTCAGACGGGCTCCATCCGCCCTGGCCCTGGGCGAGCCTTCGGCTCAGCCTCCGAAATATCCGCTCAGCAATACAGCCAGACGTGGGCCAGATTCCCCAAGCCCCCGTGAGCCGGCCCTGCGGGACTGAAAGAGGGGAGAACATTCGCCAGGGCTGGCCCTGACTCTCCCTGTCCCCTAGGCACCCCGCGCCCGTCTCCTGCTGGGGACACGGCGTGTTTCTGATGGTCTTATCGCGGGGATGAAACACCTCTGGGGCCGGATCCCGCAGCCAGGCCCGGAATGGGGGTGTTAACCACGGCCTGCCCTAGCCGGACCAGCAGGCCTGTAGCAGGGAACTGAGACCTGCCGTGTTTATCAGGCCCCCGCACAGCCCTCCCCAGAGAAGCGGGCCCCAGCGTGAGTTGGCAGCTGGCGCTGATGTTAAAGGCACTGGGGGGGGGAGGGCATTCCTCCCCCCCCCCCATGCATTGCCACTGCCCAAGAGTAGGGGGACGCCAGAGCGGTGCCCTGGCCGGTTTGCCCGAGCAAAGACTGCAGGGCTTGGTCTCTGCTGAGCGCCCTGTTCGCGCAGCCCGGGGAGCTGCCCAGGTGAGATGCTCGGTTCTGCCCGCCCTCGTTCACCCCAGTTGAGTCCCGGACAAACCGACCAGGTGACTGCGCTGGGGAGCCCCGGCAGACCTGGGGAAAGGCTCGGTAAAAAGCAAGGCAAATGGAGCCATGTGCCAGGTACCAAGGCGGGGGGACTCCCGCCCCTAGGGCCCCCTTGGGTCAACTCCCATGTGGCCACATCTTCATCGCCTCCCTGAGCGGCCTCTGACCGCTACCCCCATACCCCCTCCCCCGCCATGCCAGGCCCGGCCCAGTGCCAAGGACCCCTGGTGAGGCTCTGCACCCCAGCGTGGAGGCCTTCGGGGGTGGCGCAGACCCTGCACAATCCGGCTTTCCAAGGGGCAGCGCTGCCGCCAAAGGGGCTGGCGATTCCTAGATCCCCAAGTGCACTTGAGGGCGGCTCTCCCCGGCCTCTAGGGCCACTGAAGGCAGGGGTGTGTGTGTGGGGGGGGGGCGGGTAGCACGCCCGACCCTCCTCCCTGCAGGCAGGCTTCATCCTCCTCCGTATTTGGCTTGGTCTTTCGCTTCAGAAGCCAGGCTCAGGACCCACCCCGGCTCACAAGCGTGCGTGGCTGTAGGGCACCCCCCGCCCCCCGCCGGGAGAAGGCCAGGAGTGACCAACGGGGGGTTAAAAATACAGAGAAACCGTGTTAGCTAGAAATCACCTTCCTCCTGAAAGGGGGAGGGATAAGAAGCCCCCTGGATGCGGGTCATCTCCCTCCCCCCCAGTTCCTCTTCCACGTGCTGTTCGGGAAACACAGTTGAGGGGCTGCTGGGATCGTGCAGAATAATCCTAGGAGTGTTTTGCAGGCTGGGCTCCTCCGCCAGGCCCCAGCACAACGCAGATTAGCCTGTCTTCGACCCCCGCCCCCAACCCAGCCTTGAACTTGGCCTTGCTGGGCTCTGCGCCCCTTCTGCGTGTGCTGGCTGGAGGCAACGCGGGTGTGGGCCCGACGTTTTGGTTTTGGGGTTTCATCTGGGAAATCTGTCACCTCGGGCAGGGCGGAGAGAACGTGCCTGGAATCGGCACCACTGGGGAAACCCGCCTCTGTAGGCAGAAGGGCTTCAAATCATTTTAAAGACATATTCATTATAGTCTTTCCTGGGGACTGTTTGCACTGGGTTTAACAGCTGTTTCCCAGCCATCTAAAAGGGGTCCAGACCAAACACTGATCATTTAGCAGCCAGGAATTCGTTCGTTCTTGGGGACGGGGTTACTTTTGTGTGTGGGATCGTGTGGGGGTTGGGGGGAGGGCTTGGAGTCGGATAGTGCATTCACTGCGCTTCTGTGGCTGGATTTATTTTTTGGGGGGGAACCCAAGTTATATTCTTCCCGTTGCTAGACTGGATGAAAACACACGAATCATCTTAACAAGTGAATTGTTTATTTTAACCATCTTTGTTTAAACAAGTGAGGGAGGGAGCGGATGTGTCTTTTACAAGAATAAAGACATCTGAAACACATCCAAGGGATCTGTACAGCCACAGTTGGGCATGTTTGCACCGTAAGAATAAGTCTGCGTTGAAGAATCAGTATCTATTCAAAAACAAACAAAAAGAAGGATAAAATAAGCTGGGGAGGGGCACGCGTCCCCCAGGCCACAGTGAAACTACATGTCCAGTTTATTCTGTAATGACAGGGAATCTGTCAAGGTTTCAAAAACACACAGGAGGTACAGTTGTCTCGGCATTCACTAACAATGCGGTGCCGTTCTCAGTGCAACAAAGCAAAATCAACCAGCCCAAACTTTTCCACGCTGAGTCCAGGGGTGCTTTCTCAGGACTTCACACGCCTACAGTCAGACATGCAAGAGATCTGGTCTTTTCCCCAGTCCAGGCATTTGCTTCCTGGGCTCTCCCTGGATAGGCAGGGCAGTTTGAACAGGAGAGCGAAGAGGTCTGCGATATCCGGGGGTTACAGAGCAGCAAAGGTAACCACAAAATATTCACCAGTGATGCATTCATTGTACACGGTACAGCAAATCAAAGTTTTCGCCTGCTCCACACACCTCACCCTCTTCAGCTGCAACCCTGAAAGCCCTCGAGGTCCAGCGGCCAAAGCAGCCTCTTCGCTGGGCCAGTTGCGAACAGCTGGCCGGGACACGGGTGGATGGGTAGTTAGTTGTATGTGACGCGAAAAGTCCCCGGCGGTTTTCATCTGTGGTGAAGTTTGACGAAGAACCCAAAGGCGTCCAGTCGCTTGCCATTCGCCGGTCACAGGAATCTACAACAAAGCAAACACCAGCCCCAAACATTAGGTCCCACGCCAATAAAACAATCACACCCGCAAGGCAGTAATTCCGGGAGCCTCTCAGCCATGGATGGAGCCAATGCCAACGCACACTCCCCCGTGCCAAGGAACACCTCTGACACCCACTCCCCAGTAATGTTTGCCATGGCCAGAGGTTACACTTTCAGCCCAGTTCTGCTGCTTCAAGCCTTTTGCTTTATAGACTGTAGGGCGAGCTGTGCTGCTGAAATGCTGGCATCCCCTCACTCCCTATGGCTGTCTCTTTCTCACTGGTAATACTTTCCTGGGAAATCTCCCCACCCCTCTCGGTGAGGGGCTGAGGAGTTCTGAGCTCAGAGGTCCTGCATGTGGCCAGTCAGTGGGAGGGGTCACTGTATGTCCTACCTCTTAAGGCTTTGGGGCATGGGATTACTCTGCATGTCAGAGCCTCTAAAGAACCACCCTCTGTTGTTTTAATCCTCATATTCACTTTCCAGGGTCTCAAAGCCCTTGTCTTTGGCAGGCCCTTCTGTAAAGCGATATAGAACGATTTAGGCTGGATCAAAAGCCATTATGGTCAGGAAACAGGTAATCTGAGCTATTTTTCCTGTTCTTTCTTATTTGTCTCAGTACTTCTTTCCCCTTGTTTTCTCCTGGTTGTTGTTAGTTTCTGCCACTGGCAAGCCCCTAGCTACTGGGACTGCATGCAGATCCCGTTCCTTTCCTTTGCCAATTTCTCTTGCTAGGCCACATCCACTGGTGATGTAACCGGTGGTAGTAAACCCAGGTTAGGAACAACGCTGGGTCAATAATTAACAAAGAACCATCATTCAGCTAGTTTCAGCTCATTTTTTCACCAGCTCACAATTTCCTAAAATATTCAGAATTGCCCACAAACTAATTTTTGTGAATAATTCTTGCTATGTGTCTCTTTTGTGAGTTACCTGAGAGAATTCAATGTTTGATTGGACATCTAGAGAACATTTTTGTTCCTTGATTGGATGAGTGAGTGTAATTGTTTGAATCATGTGAATACCCAACATTTATGAAGCCAGAGTCTGATTTCCAGGGACCTTCACTTGAAAATCACTCTCTCCAGGAACATCCCTGCTCCTAAACATCTTTGCTAGAATATTCATTACGAACGAGAACCAAAGCTCATTGACATCAATGGAAAGACTCCTCTTTGCTTTAATGGGCTTTGGGTCAGGCCCATAAAACAAAGCGGAAAGGGATACATCCAATTCTAGGTGAATTCATTCTATATTAAAACCTGAAGGTCTTCCTACTGGTG